GTATCCTTTGCTAAAGGTTGCATTTTTATTTTTAATTACTTTGAAAAATATGTTTTCACTTTAACATCTACATAATGTTAATTTATTCAAAACTATTGTGGCTGCAGATCCAGAAATCTTCATTACATTAGGTTTTCAGGTGATTTAGCTTATAACTAGAATCTGAATGCCCCTCCTCCACTAATAATAAGAAAATTTGGGATCGCCCCAAGAGATAGCAATATAATCATTAGCTACCAAGCAAAACCTCAGAATTTCTGACTGTGACCTTGCTGAGAATTAGCAAATAAATCCACTGTAGGAAAACAGAACTCAAAGCCACAAACCTTACATTGTTCTCCTTTCCCATGTCAGGTTAAGTTACTGCGTCACCCTCGTGGCCCAAAAGGGGTGATGCATCTTCCCAAGTGTTCAATTTAACACATTTCAACTCTTCGGAGATTGGCTTCGTTGTTCAGTACAATTTGAATCAACATTAAATGAGGCAGTAGATCCATGGAGGTTTGAAAATGTAATTAGAGTACAACTGATGTTTTTATCTGTTATCCTGGCAGATGACCAAATATGTCGAAGGTCCTTAGGTTTCAAGAATCTTGTGTCTAATTTAGTATAGAAATGTCATGTTTGATGTTTTTAAAAAGGATTTCCATGTAATTTGATTTAAGATTTGAAGTCTTACAAAGTGAGCCAAATGCAGTATGACAGATTCAACTTAATTAATGACTGAGCTACACAATTTTCCAATTAAGCCAACTTAGGAAGCCAGGCTTTGTCTCTGCAGTGAGACTTGGTTGAGAAGGAGGTTCAGATGTTGATCGCTTTTAACCCCTAGCATCCAGAGTAGAAATGGCAAATAAGAGACCAGTTCACATGCTTTTCCTGACCCTTAGCTCCGTGGTTTGATATATAAAATAAAATTGATAGCTATTATCTAGGATCAGTTGGGACAGACATCTGAAAGAAAAACCTCATGTTAGCAAATGCCTAATCATGTCAAGTAAGACTCTAGTTCAACCAAACCCCAATTTATAAAAGAATATTGGTAGAAGTTTGTCATTTACTCCATGCAATTACCATAATCCTGTAACATCAGAATCTTATAAAAGAATTTACCACAGGGTTACTTTAATGAATCTCTCTTTAAAATAAAAAAGTAGAAAGCTTTTAAAAATACTTAAAATAGCCTTGGCTGGGTGGCTCAGTTGATTGGAGTGTTGTCCGGCTGGGCATGTACCCAGGTTGTGGGTTTGATTCCTGGTTGGAGTGAGTATGAGAGGCAACCGATTGATGTTTCTCTTTCAAGTTGATGTTTCTCTCTCTCTCTCTCTCCCTTCCTTTCTCTCTGAAAATCAATCAAAACATATCCTTGCCCAGCTGTTGAGGCTCAGTAGTTGAGCATTGACCCATGAACCAGGAGGTTGAGATTCGATTCCTGGTCAGGGCACAAGCCCAGGTTTCAGAGTCAATCTCCAGTAGGGACATGTGGGAGGCAGCTGATCAATGCTTTTCTCTCATCATTGATGTTTCTATCTCTCTTTTCTTCTCCCTTCCTCCATCTGAAATCGAAATATATATTTAAAATAAACACATATCCTTGGGTAAGGATCAAAAAATAATAAATTAATTAAAATAGTTAACATACAATGGGATTTGAGAAACTGGGATTTCTGAAAGCTAATGTTCCTCAGATTTCCCAAATAATGTGTTGCCCACATGAGTTCATATAGGCACCCGAACTGTATGAGTCAGTAGCAAGGAGCAATGGAGATGACATTAGTACCCTGCTGGCTCTGCATTTCCAACCTTTTTTTCTCCTCCTCCACACACATACTTACAGTCCTGGATGCCCCAGGGTATGAACATATTGCATTACCACCTGGAGCCCTGCACCTCCTTTTCAACATTGGGTGAATTTGTACAGTGGCAGTAGGAATACTCTGGAATCCATTTCTGCATCAGGATACCTTAATAACTTAACTATAAATGGAAGTGACTATGAATCATAAACATAGGTCCCAGTAACCTAACCTAAATGCACCCCTAATTTACTTCATTTAGTTTAGTTCCAGAAATAACCATGGCCATTTGAACACTACAGAACATGACAGAGGGAAGTCGGGAGATTAAAAGGCAGCCGTAGTAACCGTTCGCAATGAAAACATTTTGCCTTTGCAAGTTTTTTAAATTAATTGATGTTATTTTAAAATTTTTCTTTATTATTGAAAGTATTACAGCTTTTGTGAGTTTTTAAAAGCATGTGACTATATAAACAGATTTCTAGGCATCCATACAGGTAAGGGACCCTGAAACTCAACCTTTTTTATTTTGATGGTAAATCCACTTCCAATAGCACCTAATGTCACTTGTAGGATTTTAGTAGACACCGAGAAATAATTATTGGATGGATGGATGGGTGGAAAGGAACTTCTTTGTGACACTTCCACAGTCAAATTAAATTGGACCAATTAGCTGCCAGTCACATTTATCACAGTGACTTGGTATCTATTACTAACACAAAATATGTCGAGATTTATTCATTGTAAGCACATATATTGACCCTCTGTTTTTTCTTTCTATGGGAAAGTCACGATTTCTGCAAAATTTTGCAGCCTTGTCAACTTCACTTCCTCAGGAGTATGCCCTCAGCAGAGCTACTACTTGAAATGTCTTATTACTAAAATTATTAAACAATTGTCTTCAATATCTAGTTATATTTGCCTTTTTACAAAGGACGATTTCAACTCTGTGACCTTTTTTTTGGTGACTCCAAAAAAAGGAGCTGAAAAATTGAAGGTCCATATTTTCGAGGCTGGAGTAAAAATATATAGATTTATTTATATTTTAATTTACTGTCTAATGTTACAACAGAGACCATGCTAGAAAGGAAACTGGTGGGTCAGACAAGGAATCTAGTAGTGAACGGGACTGGCTTAGGATCCTGGCCTTTGGGATGCTCCCTTCACGCTCGTGCCCAGGGTTAGCAGATAAGTGCCACTAGTAATAGCTACAAAAACAAATGTTCTCTCATAAAACCTTACTGAATATACATTTATACACCACTGGAAAACCATGCACCACTCTTTGGGACCTGGAATTTTTTAGACAATGCCAGAATCAAAATGCTTCTTGCTAATGCTGAGTTTTTCCTTTGGACATTCAGATTGAGATAGTTGAGAGAAGATAAAAAGTTATGAGGCAAATAATGGCATATTCACAGTGAAGTTGTGGACTTGTAGCTAGGCTTTCTTTCATAAGCTTAGTTTAGGAAATAGACTTGTGATGCTGTGGTGGAAACTCTGAGCCTTCATGGAGACCTCAACTTTTTGCATTATCTCCCACATTGACCTGGTTGTCTCTTTTAAAATGTCTTACTTTTTTTTTTTTAAATATATTTTATTGATTTTTTACAGAGAGGAAGGGAGAGAGATAGAGAGTTAGAAACATCGATGGGAGAGAAACATCGATCAGCCGCCTCCTGCACATCTCCTACTGGGGATGTGCCCGCAACCCAGGTACATGCCCTTGACCGGAATCGAACCTGGGACCTTTCAGTCCGCAGGCCGATGCTCTATCCACTGAGCCAAACCGGTTTCGGCTAAAATGTCTTTTAAACAATGGCAGATTAAGCTTGGGGGCATAATTGGAATATATGGTTAATATGAAGAGCAAGGATAGATGAAGCCATCTTTTTTGGATATGCTGGTGAAAGAAATTTCATAAAGATATTTCAGTGTGATTAGAAAAAGATATCAAATTTTTTTTTAGCTTCATTCAGCTGGTGTAATGGGCATTATTGATTAAAATGTTAGGATCAGTAAGGACTTAAAATTGAAGTAGAGGAGACCTGAAGAAGGAGAATAAGGTTATGGGCTGTCTGGTAACCTAACAAATAAATGCTTTGTAAACAATCTAAACTGATCTAGAAAAAGACGTGTAAAAATCAAACCACACAGGGGTAAATGCAGACATGGAGAAAATACCATTACAATACTAATAAATTGAAAAGTGAAGTAAAAAACATATCACTAAAATAAATTTTAGGAAAAACATCTGAAAGTAATTAGCATTTTTATTAAATGTGTACAGAAATTACCCCTGAAAAAACAATTCAGAAACCAGCTCCTGAAAACATTAACAAATACTTCAACATAGGCTCTAAGAGCTGCTAGAGAGAAAAATGTGAAAGACCATAAAGGAAAGGAAAAATAGAAGGCTCACCAGTCACTGAATTCAGGGACTGAATTATGAATTTTCTTGGGGCTACTCTGGGTACTGCATTCTTGTATAATTAATTAAAGGTTCCTTTGGAAAATTTTACAGTCTTTAAATTAAGTCCAAGAAATATACTTTTTAAAAATCAATTCTGAACTTAGTGAATATTAATTTCACTGTTAATTTTTCTACTATATTAGGCACAAATCAATATAAATCTATTATCAATATGAATGGAAATATTAGGAAGTCATTTTTAAATTAAGTAAAATATCAGTAAAGAATAATATCTGGTAATAGAACTTATTATAATTTTGCTTATTTAATTTCCCGTGTACAAACTTCCAAATAAACATGGTTCATTATGAGTTTGTTTGAAATTTAAACACTTAATTTTGGACCCCAACAGTGTAGCTCTATCATCTATTTTGAACAGGCATTTTGTAGAAAAATCAATGGTTCATTGTCTAGTTGCTTTAATTTTTGCCTGGTGCCTTTTGATTTTGAAATTAGTGTAGGGGAGGAAAATGAAACTTTCCTCTGTCCTTCTGAGTTCTTAGCTGAGACCCCTGTAATAAAGGACAGATTAACAAGAGAAAAATAAACAGAAATTTATTAATATGTATACATCATGTATACATGGGAGATGCCGAGGGGAAAGTAAGTCACTCTCCAAGATAGTCTATATGGGGGTGGTGTATTCTGCTAGCTTCGTTAGTAACCCCACGTGTCTTGAAATGCTCACCAGGAACCGGTGGGATTTGACTTGCCCTTGCCTTTGCTCACAGGTGCACCCTGAGCGTGACCGTGGAGCAGGCCATCATTCTGGCCAGAAGCCACGGACTGCCTCCTCGCTACATTATGCAGGCTACGGATGTAATGCGGAAGCAGGTGAGTCTCACACTCTAGGGCAGTGGTTCTCAACCTCCCTAGTGCCTCGACCCTTTAATACATTTCCTCATGTTGTGGTGACCCCCAATTTCATTGTTACAAATTGAACATAATTAAAGCAGAGTGATTAATCACAAAAACAATATGTAATTATATATGTGTTTTCCAATGGTCTTAGGCAACCCCTGTGAAAGGGTCGTTCGATCCCCAAAAGGGTCGCGACCCACAGGTTGAGAACCGCTGCTCTAGGGAGTTGTGTTATAAGACCTGGATTTGTTCCCGCATCAGATGTCTGACAAGTGCCTGGATGTGACGGGCAGTTTTCCAGGCTCAGAGGGGAAGCTGAGAACAAGAAACACTCCCGGGGAAGAAGACAGCACAGATGTCCACACGAGGGTTCTCTGAGAATCTCAGAGAACCTGGAGAGAAGGGTGTCTCAGAGGCCCCCTGAGGAGGAGAGGGAGTTGGCCGGGCAGAATGAGCCAGGGTGGCTTGCGGCTTATGTAAAGGAGAAGATACGTGTCACTTTCTGGGAATTGCAGGGAATAGACTGGGGGAGAGGTGAGGGGAGAGGACAGAATTGAGGGCCCTGCGTGCTTCTGGCGATCTCGCAGGGCCTCACGTGCCAGATAAGCACAGACCTCGGTTTTCCATTTAGAGGATGAAGCGCGCCATTGGACTGCCCATAGGTCTCTGAAGTATGTGTGGGTAAGAATGGACTAGCTTATAAAGAGGATGAACTTTCTATACAATAATCCAAGAGTATCTGGAGTGGCAGATTGGTTTTTAACCCTTAAAATTCTCTGAAAAGTTAATACCAAAACTGCACTAATATCCAATTTAGTGATCAGTAGGAAAATGTGCTTACTCCAGTAGAAAAAACAGTGAGTAGAAGGAAAAAGAAATTGAGAGACATTAATTGTGTTAAATCGTATTGATTTTTAGAGAGGATTTTTAGAAAGAGGGAGAGAGACAGAGAGAGAAACATCTACTTGTTGTTCCACGGGTTGATTTTTGTATGTGCCCTGCCCTGACCAGGGATCAAACCCGAAATCTTGGCGCATCAGGACAACATTCTAACCAACTAAGTTATCTAGCCAGGATGAAAGACAATTTTATATTTTATTCTGCCACCTTTTCTTTGGGCTACCACAGAAAATTGGTTTAACCTGCTGACTTGGTTTGTATTGTCCAGTGATAGTGAGGGACTTAATTTTTAAGATATGCTTTTGTAATTATGAACTTGGTTTACTAAAGAGTGGATAATTCTTAAACATAAATCCCTATGGGTTTGCTCAAAAAACAAACAAACAAACCCAAAACAACAACACAGAAACCCAGAAGCAGTGATAAGTGAGGCCAGCGCTGGCCTGTGGACCGCACTGCAGACGTGAGGTGCAGCGGGCACAGACCCTGGAGTTTCAGGTTGTGAACCCCAGACCTGAAGACTGAAAACCCAGGTCTCACAAGGTCCAGGAGGGGTTTGTTGCAAGGAGGTCAGATCCGTGAGAAGCACGTGGCATACTGTGGGTCAACTGGAAAAGGGCGAATACAGATGCAACGGTGGCAGGTTTAGGAAGAACTTTTTTGGGTGCATATACACATTCAGTTTTTAAAAGCAGGTTAAGGTAAGCGTGTGATTAGTCATATCTGGATTGGGATGTGGGCTCTGAAACATACAGAAAGAGACTAATCTTCAATTTCGCTCTGTGGCTACCAGATTAAGTTTGCAACCAGACTTGCAGAAGCCATTTCAAAATTGTGGTTTATGGGAGACTATATTAACCTTTTTTATAATAATCTTTTTATAATAGTAAGGGGGTAATTATGAGTTGGCTACATATACATTTAAGTATATAGACTGAAACACTCAAAACCTTTAACTTCTTATAACTGAAAATGAGGATAGAGAAAATGAAAAAAGTAAAACAATATTATGTAGGCCTTAATGACTTGTTTAACTGCTGTAAGCTTCTTTAAAACATAATATACATACATTTGTATTAATACCTGTTACTATATATATACATAAAGTTTAATTTTAAAAGACTAAAATGTTACAAAGTCCCTGGTCAATTTCTAATTTGCACTGTTTTTTAGTATTTATCATCCTGTCTTCCTCCTAATTATTGAATAAATACATTGAGAACCCAACCCCTTCCTTTGTTGCTTGTCTGTCTGCTCTAAGTTTTTGTGACATCTCTGAGTGGTTCTGAGAGACAAAGACAGTTCTGCCTTCTCTGTGAAAGATTATGGAGCCCAGGCCTTCTCTTTAGAGAAACGGGAGGAGACTTTTGCAATATTCCTCCTGCCGCTAATCCTCTGACCAGTGTTCAGCAGCTTCAGGCTACGGGATTAATGGTTGGGATGAGTCTGCAAGCCAACGCTTACCAGCATGGGATCTGAGTAGTTAGGACACACCTGTAATGAAAGATATTTCTTTTGCCTTTCAACCCCTTTGACTGCGTTTTTCAGAGACTGAATGCTTAGAATATTTGCCAGATTAATGATTTATAATTTCTAAGATATTTAGTTTCTTTTTCTAGGAAGAAGCTTTCCAGCATGATTTATTATTCTTATTTCTAATTGCAGTATAGTTTTCACGTAGATTTTGTATATGTGCTTTCCGTAGAGTTGTTTAAATTAAGGGCTTGAGTTAGTAGGAGAGGTAAAATTAGAAGGAAGGGTACTGTGCTCCTTACACTTTTTTGTAATGATTATAATAATCGTTGGCAGCACTTTCACATAACCATCTGATCTTATTAATAAAATAATTGAGGTTGACACTCCCATTTACATCATAAACTTCAAGTTTTCTGTCCTATAAATTATACATTTCAAGTATTCTTTGATGGAGGCCAGACATTCTTTTTTGACCATTTTAACAAACACTGGGATTGCACAGAATTCTGGCTCCTTAGCTATAGTATCAGAGCATTAGTCTGGGCACGAGGACCAAGGACCAGGGAAGATGCACTTCTTGCCTAATATCATGGTGGACACATGTAGGCAAATCACCGTGATACAGGCACCAACAGGCAAGTACTCTCTGGGGTGTACAACCTAGTGGCTCAGGACATAAGTCAGAAAACTAATAAAAAATATGGAAATTCTCTACTTTGCTTTTACAACCTTTCTCTAAGTCTAAAATTACTTCAAAATAAAATTAATTGCAATTCCAGGTGGACAAGCAGCAGACACCTGGGTAGGAAAAGCCCTAAAATCAGCCATCAGGGCTGGGGACCCCTGAACCAGGTCTAGAATTAGAGGCTCCCGGAACTTCTGTCAAATTCAGGGGTGGGGAACCTTTTTTCTGCCAAAGGGCCGCTTGCTTATTTCTAACTGGCAGGCCATACAAAATTATCAACTTTAAATTAGCCTGCTATCTTTGGGAAAACATTTAATTAACTCACTCCTAATGCCTTGGCAGGGCCAGACCAAATGATTTTGTAGGCCTTATATAGCTTGTGGGCCAGATGTTGCCCATCCCTGCTTGGTCCACTTGAGAGAATTTTTCTTTTTCTTTTCTTTCTTCTTTCCTTTCTTCTTTTCCCATAGGTTAGCATTTGGAAGCAGGAGAGAGGGTTTCAGAGTTTTTTTTAAAACCACTCTCCTTTATCTGTTCTCAGTCCCACATGCTGATGTTTTGTTCTATGCAATAACTAATTCCCATTAGGAACTGAACAATGATTGTAGCTTCATTCACGAACTTGACAGATTTTAAAGACTTTTTCATTGCTAAAGTACGTTGTCTTTGTGCTATAAATGTTGAGGCAGAATTCTTACATTTCAGAAATCTACATGCAAATTGTTTTAGAACTATTTAAGAAATTATTTTCTTGATAAGCACAGTGAAGTTTAAAATAGCTCATTATTTAGCTAAAACACAGGAGTGTGATATAACTGTGATTTTTGTTCCACGAAAGTGAAGATATAGCAGATATTTATAACCTGCTCATGTTCTATTGTCTTATGCATTCCTTGCTTTTAGGAATAAAGACATAGATGAGATGGTGAACAGGAAACTGTTGTTTAAACTAATTTCAAATAACTTAGGTGGCTATTGGAATACATTCCAATCCTTTGAAATAATATATCCGCATATTTTAGTTCTTAAAAGCATTAATTTTGAAAATGCTCAGATGAAAATGTCTCTCTTCCTCCTCATCCAGTCTCCCTTGATGTTAAGTACATGGTTGGAATAAATACTCTACACTCAAGTGTTAATGCTGTGTTGATGACTAATGCGATGTAGAGCCAAGAGTGATTTTTTCTTTACTTTTTTCAGGGAGCAAGAGTTCAGAACACAGCAAAGAATTTAGGAGTGAGAGACCGGACCCCACAGGCTGCTCCCAGGTAAGTGACTCCCCATGTCTGCCCTTTTCCACCCTCTCCCAGGCAGTGTCACTCATAGCTACTATAACCGCTCAAAGCTATGCTCAGTGTAGAACTGATTATAGTCCTAGAAACTGGCCTTGTAGACATTCTGTGGCTCTGTGATTAGGCATAAATGCTCTCTGACTGAAATTGAATTCTAGCTGGAGAAAATTTAGAGGTAGCAGGTAGAAGAAGTCTTGACATTATTTAAACTTTGCAAGTTTCATCATGAATTCAATCACAAAAGTCCACACAATTCCTATGAAAATTTATATGCCAACTGTGCCAAACTATGAAAATGCTGTTTTCATTTATACTTTTATGATGGGGCGTGCTGTTTGTTCCCTCTGGCAGGATTATATGCCAACTGTGCCAAACTATGAAAATGCTTTTATGATGGGCCGTGCTGTTTGTTCCCTCTGGCAGGGTTGCCTTTCCCATCTGTGTCTGTATTAAACACT